TGATCTCCAATCTATTGTGAAAGGTGCTAGAAATTTCTGGATTCATGGATCAAGCCAGGGCCAATTGCGCCGTGTCCCCCATGTTCCCAAGCATTCTATCGAAAAGAGTCCTATGGCATTAGAAACGTAGGTGAGTGTGCATCGGCAAATACCGTACGCTTTTAATGACTACACGGCTACCGCACACAGATAGCTTCCCTTACTTTTAGGACATGGTATCGTCAATATCTTGACCACCCCAAGTGACCAACAGCAATGAGTACCGAGGTTGTCGAGACCTTTTTCAGATCAGACAAAACATTCCTTGATCCCTTGTGGTTCCTAAGAGGTATTTTGTTGTACAGACTATCTTTCTGTTGGCAACCTAGTCTCTATTCCGTGGTTTCTTGATGTTCCTGCTTTGACTGGGTACTGTAACCGCCAATGGCTCAGCATATATTATGATACAATCATCCATCCGCTCCAGCTGGCTTTGCTGAGATGCAAAATCTTAGGCTTGTTGGAAGGAGCAGCGACTACCTTTATGTCACAACACATATGTAACGAGTTTTTTTTGGCTGCGTGCGGCCAAAACCTGGCGGTCACCTGTCGTGTCTTGGTTTGTTTCGTGTAAGTTGCGGAATTTTCAGAATTGTTATTCACATCACTCCTCGTTTGTGCAATCCTCCTCATATTCTGGCGTAATCGTCCTGGTTAGTTCACACCATGCAGGGCGGGCACTGGATTCGAGTTCCGGTCCTAATATAGTTCAGCAGTGGAAAACGAACCGATCCTTCGAACGTGCAGATTCATGTGCATCCAGTCTGTGCTGGGATAGCAGTGCTAACCCGTTCGCCTTCCATCTCGTAGGTGCCGCATGACCAAGGATATGCGTTGCCGATGAGCCCTAATAAGATCAAAACCCGATGAGTAGACTTCAGTACGTTTCGCTGGTTAGCAAAATAAGGCCAACGCCGTTTGTTTCGTTTACACGAGGATGTTGTTCCGTGGACGTAAAGTGTTTTCTACGTGATCATCGAGAGACATTCAATTGGGAAGTTTATTTTGCGAAGTGTGTAACCCATAGAAATTGTTGCATTCACAGCGTTTCCTTGATGATGGCTTCGCATAAATAGGGGCCGCTCTATTTTCAGTGTGCTATATAAAGCTGGTATAGACCTCTACATTAACCGAAACTGAGGTAAAGCGCCGCACGGAAATGAAATGACACATATGGTTGCATATCACCGGAAGTGTTCGAATTGGAAGACATCCTTTTCTCTCTTCACAAGGGCGGGGAATAACCAGTGTTGTTGACTTTTCCTAAGTTTTCCTCATGCTCTAGCTTGTGTGTTGTATTTTTAGCTTGTAACCGCAGTACTAGCAGACATACCCGAACTGAATTCTGCGAGGTTCTACTCCGCAAACATTCAGCGCAGAAATGGCAGAAAGTCTACTAATGGGTGGGAACTAACGGACAAATGCAGAATTCATCGTATAGAGGTAGCGCACAAAGTCATAGGCCGAAACCGAGATAATGACTGAATCGATACGATGCATAGGTCAGTAGCAGGCCATTAATATTGGTGGGTCTTCAACCGCTGAGTTACCAAGTCAACGAGTATTTTTGATCGAGAGTTGCTTAATCCGAAGGGGTCACAGAAGCTATGTAGCTTGAGATTGCTTGTGGATCGTGTAGGCTAGAGTTCTCTTGATTGTGTTCCCGTCCTAGTAAATTCACCCTGCGACAAAAATTTAGGATCATATCGATTTTTATACTAATTATCCTGTGGAAGTTGTTGGCTGTCTCATACTCGAAAGGAACTAAAATAATTTTAGCTTAGACCGAAAGAAAAATGAGAAAGTACACAAAAACGCAAAAATCACCGCGTTTATTCCTCTGGCCACCAACCCAATACTCGTTCAGCCTAGTCGGTAAAGTGACAACGTGTCAATGAACAGCGTGAAACGGCATTCTCATAGCAGTTTTTCCTAAGGTTGTTCATCAGGACAGTTTAATGCGCACAACATATTGACCCATCTTGTACTTGCTCAATTGATTTGTTTGCTTTGCTAACTATTCTGTCGCTCCACGACGCTGGCTTTGTCGATTTCAATTGTGAGTGTAATGCTCCTCTGTAATTGTCTGATCAAAGCTACACGACTACCGTCGGAGCACGATTCGGCACTAACAGACGACGTAAACCTCAGCCGTCTGACAGAGAATAGGAGGAGAGCTCAGCCTTCCGTGTTGTGTCAGCTAGACCGTAAGGCGTTTGGAACGAGGAAATTACCTGCAGACGGGAATTGTAACCGCTTCGAAGTAAGCCAGAATGGGTCCCGCAACACTGCGGTGGCCAGCTTGCGATCTGGATCTTAATTCTGTTGAGAGTCTCTGGAGCATACTAGCAGGGTAGATGTACGAATGTGCAAAATTATATAACCCGAAGACTGAGTTAGAGGATGTCCCAAAAGTGGAATAAAGACACGCCGATCAGACACTTGCAAAGCATATTACAGCGTGCTATGGATGTTTTGACACAAAGCAATGAAAGCATACTACTGAACTGGCAGGATTGTAGCAAAAGCTGACTGCGCTTTTTTTCTTCCAATAACATCTTATGAGCAGATATGAATCCGTTTTCCGACCATTTTCGGAACCTGCTGGTGGAAAATATGCCATTCAATGTACCGTGAAAAAAACGGGCGACACTATGTTTCGCGATGTATAAACATGTATGAGGACAGGCCTTGAAGACCGCTTCACGCAGTTCAAACCCATGATTACCTTGCTCCCCAGCAGATGTGGCTAACGCCTTCCATCAACCCATCAATTATTCAGGGCATAACAGACAATACGCAACAGCAAATGAATCGTATAAATTGATGTTCAACACAGTATTTGTTCCGCCTCATGTTGTTTGGTAAAAATCCCATTAGTTGATACGAGACTACGCACAAAACGTGCTATGTGATATGTCATCCTCATTGACAGCGTCACTAGGCCCGAAGGTGTAGTGCTCGCCTGCAGTGCAAATGGAATAGAAAGAATAATCGATGTAATCATAGTAAGAAACCTAACGATATCTGTGGATATTTTTGCTACCGACTCATCAATGTGATTGGGCTTGCGAAATCCATCACCTTCCGACATAAAGAGTACATTCATCATCATCATCGACGGCATGACATCAGTGTTCAACACCGATGCTTCACTGCCGTACAACCATGATTTATTTGAAAGCCTTATTGTAGAGAAAAGAGTAAAGGTGGACAGGGAAGGGACTTAGTGCTAACTTACCACAATCATTCCGAGGTGCCCATACCTCCAGACATTCACTCGGGCAATCTGGATAGAAACTGACAACAAGAACGCCATTGACACAGCACCCAAGCGTTTCGTGATCTTCATACTCCTCTGCCAGTTCATGGGTTGGCCACCTCTCTGTTTACGCCACTCTGAATTGGGCATGGAAAATAGCGCTCTCTTCGGCAAACGATGGTTCGGCATACGTAACACATGTCCCAACCAACTCAGCTTCTGGTGCTGGACACATTCTTCAATGGAATTACCCGTTGCACAACCGTAAACGCGCTTTCTAACTGTCTCGTTACGGATTCGTTGACTCCAACCCACACGAGCTATGGTTCTGAGACAACGATTGTCGAACACCTGAAGACGTCTCAGTTCCGCTTGAACGAAAAAGGTCAGGAATCAACCTAAATAAGGGCGAAAGGCTTTTGGAGATTCGACCACCTAGCTCTTCTCTGTTCCCCTCACTTCGGAGTAATAACATTGAAGACGCCCCTTGATGCTTTTCAGTTTTGAAAGGCGTCGAAAACAGATTCGACAGAAGAAGACTTTGTGATCATGTGCTTACAGAAGGGTGAGGATTGGTTGGTTGTTTCTTCCTATCTGCTGGTTATCTCTGCCGCCATTCCATTGTTCAGCATACACGTTCAGCTGGGTTGACTCGTGGAAGACCTCGCTTCTTTCGATGTCTATCCCTTTCCATGACGGCCACCGAAATCGATCGGTATTTAGTGTATTGCACTCAGCCCAGTGTGTGTGTCCGTGTTCAGTAGACTTACACTTTCCGAAACAACTGTTTCCATATCTGTTAACTGGTAGATGCCCGGGGGCCGAGGTGGTTAGAGCGCGAATTTACTGATCGGAAGGCCCGTGGTTTGAACCCGAGATCTGCCTCTCGACTTCCTCTGTCTAGACGTGGGCAACCTGGCAGTATCTCAACCCTCGTGCTTCCTTCGAGTAGCATGGCAGCTAGGCTCTGGAATGGTGTTACAGCTGAACGAGATCCCAGTGGCATCATTAACGCAAGTGTCCTTACGTAGTAGACATCCATTTCTTCTGACCACAGGTGATTAATTCTTCGACGTGGATGTTGGAAAGGAGATGCTTCAAATTTTCACGTTATTTTTAACCTCAAAAATCAGTACGCTTAGTCCACCTTCCATGTACACTGGGTTGAATTTACCAGTACGCCGAACCTGCTAACGAATGGCCTAGTTGCGTCCCTTCCTAGATTGGCCACGACTTTCATTGCAGTTACGCACCTCTACCCTAATGACGGCACATAGCATGTTCACGCCATAGCTGTTGCAGTGTGTTAGAATATTTTATCCAATGAACGTTCAACGCAAACCTTGAGGTTTGACCATTTATTTGCTATCGGTTGGATGTATTTTATGCAGTTGTAGTACCAAAAATTGAAGATAGAATTTTTTAAGCGCACACGCACAACCACCCACATCCTGTTTTCGATTTGAGAGCTACAAACGGATGCTGCCGTCTATCTTAAGTGTCTGACAAGTTTTTTTTTGCTGGATACTAGTGAGCCAGTGAATGATTAGATGGAATAGGGTTAGCCACAAGGTTTTGTTCATTAGACATTCTCCAACTCCATGTAGTTTTTCCCTCCTCTACTTCCTGGATAAGTTTCAACCCTTCCTCTCTATTTCTATTGACTCGTGACACCTTCTGTGCTTCTTCCACCGTTCAGGAAAGCATGCTCAATGGGCGAATTCACCCGGTCGGACAAGTGGAAGGGTTCACGCTTGAATTGGGTGCAAGTGGTTCTTTCTTCCCTGCACATGAACGAATCCCCATGAAGGCCTATTTCTTTGATTTGTCCGATGATAACAAGCCATCACCGTACTTGGGCTACGCTGATTTGTGTCAGCTTCGAAACGGTAAAGGCTACCATCTTCCGATGAAAGGTTCCGTGCAAGTACGTTTGGTTTCATATTGTGTCCGTTTGGTCGCGCAGCCTTTGGCGAGTGTGCCCTAGTTCACCGCATTTAACTTTCCTTTCAGCTTACGCTTTTCAACCCCAACAAAGTGGTGGTCAAAATGTTCGTCATCGGCTACGACTTTGAAGATATGCCCCGCAATTCACAGACGTTCCTTCGGCAGCGCACGGTTTATATGCCTATTCAGAAAGCCTCCACACAACAAGATCCTGCTTGGATCCAAGATAAACCAAGTGAAGATCGGGGCGATTCAAAAGATGACCTTCCCTCGGAGGACCAAATGCTTGCCGCTGATTCTTTTGGGACCACTGCCAAGCAAACCGAGGCCTTGCCACCGTCCTCATCTGTCTCTTCTTGTTCCTGTTCTTCCCTCTCATCCATATCATCCGGCTGTTCTCTCACTTCGCTGTCCTCTAACCTGACGGTTAACTCCACGCGATCGGAACAGCACGCTTTCTTGCGGTACCTGGTCCATTTGAGGTGCGTTTTCATAAATGAACAAGGGTCGAAATCTAGCAATGGTTTATTTTGAAGAAAGTAGTTCAGATTTACCGTCCTACTCTGATTTCGGCCCACTCAAATGACTGAATAGTAGGGACGGGTTGTACCCTATTTTTAAACCGCCATTTTCGTATTGCAGCCATCTTACTCTAGTATGTCATTTCAGCTTGCATCAGGCCCATTATCGTTCAGCTGTAACACCCTCTCGGTGCCTAGCAGCCATGCAACCCGAAGGAAGCACGAGGGTTGAGATACTGCCAGGTTGCCCAAGCCTAGGCAGACTTAGGCAGCCTAGCCACGGACCTTCCGGTCAGTAAATTCGCGCCCTAACAACTTGAGCCATCTCGCCCTATCAGACCCATTAAGGACAATTCAGAATACCCTTAGGGACAAGTACGTGCGAGGTAAATTCCGACAGGATTGCTGATTCGGTGGTAATGTTGGTGACAATGTTTTACATTAAGCTTTGACGGAAAGCTGGTTGTCACCTCGCCTTGTGGCTGTCTGTATCACCGCAAGAACTATAGTTGAAAACTACAGGTGAACAAGTGCTATGGTACATACGTACCATAGTAATCTCATTGGCTTATAGCTTACGGAATGCATTGTCTTGGACTCCCCCTACCAGGAGGAGTGACCTCTCTCTCTCTAGAATATGACCCATACAATTAGGTCTGTACCGATGCTCTTCTGGAGCAATATGGGATTAGTTGTGGATCTTGTTCGTGGAGGCACACGTCAACTTTACGCAACCAACTGGGACCTTGCGAACCTCAGAGAGTTTCTAACCTGCAATCTTCTGGCCACTTAACCGTTTGGCCAGGAATGGCTCATCAATAGTGTGATTGGCTCTCACTTAGCGCACTCATCCCTCAATGACGGGAATGAAATATCACGTGTTCACGTATTGGCACGTCCCTCCAATGACTTCTCAAAAGGAATTTTCATACATCAATTGAAATTGTCCTTCCTCGGTGCAGTTTAGTGGTTCATGGTAATGCGAGAAGATTTGGTAATATTCACTGGAGATTTCATCCCATCAGTGAAGCCAATTTATGCTGAAGGGCCGAGAATCGCTGTGGGCCTGTCTCGTCCCTACTGGGAATTATCATCAGTGCTCATCTTACGAAACTCAGTCAGTTGTAAACCTTCCAGCCACTTATTGAACACAAAACTTTGGCCACGGGCGACTGGTCAGAAGTGTTATTAACTTTCACCGGATGTGTGAAACTTCCTTCTGAGAAGTCATTACTCAAGGAGTCAGTCAATACGTGACCACGTGATGTGGTTTCCGTCATTGAGGAATGAGTGGCAGTGTGTCCTGTCATAATGAGCGCAAATCACACTGCCGATCAGTCGCTCGTGGTCAAGCGCTTGAGTGTTCAACCGCTGGCTGGATGTTGCGGGTTCGAAACTATCCAAATTTCGCCAGATGTGCATTGTTGATGATTCCCAACAAGGGTGAAACATTTGTGCAGTATTCCTCGGCTTAGATTGACTTCACTGACACGAGATCTCAGGTGAATATTACCACTACCTTGTACAAAAAAGCTCCTTCAAGATGAAAGCCGTCTTGGTTCGGTGTTTTGTGTTTATTCCATGCTTGTGATGATAATGCCAAGAGAAACACCAAATGAATGCATACAAACGGAAAGCCGGTGCAATAAATTGCAAGACCCAGAGGAACAAACGTAAACAGAGATACTGCGATAAAACTTGTGTGTGACCTACTGAGAAACCACACCGTTATCGCATCTCCCACGCCGCACGACATACTTCAACATTTACAATAACCCATAAGTGTCATCCTCAATTGGAACGCGACCTTCACTCTGTAAATTTAGCATGACCTTGATACTGGTTTCTTGCATAACTGCATAGATACGCGCCCTATTTCCACCCATATATGTGTGTGTATCCTTGGGTTATTAACCGAAAAATCGGTGTACATCATACGGTCGTTTGAATGCAAATGTATCCGGTTATGTCATGCGTTACGCGGTCTTTCATGAACCTATGTTTGTCAGGTTACGGTAACAGGTCGATCACTCTCATTGACTAGGTTCCGTCAGCCTGACTGTCCTCGTCGGATTGGTTGGTGTTAATGCATCAGAAGTGCTTTAGCCAAACACCATTGATGGTCTCTTGTAGTAAGATTGCATGAGACGGGTGAATTGTCGGGGATACAAGCAACCGAAATGCCTGGTCGTTGGACTGACTAACTACGAGACCCCCAGTCGCGCGGTCCGCTGATGCTCTCAGAAGTTGGCAAGTGGACTGAGTAGAAACATCCATGTCTCTCAGAAGTTGTGCTGTCTGGCAAGTGGACTGAGTAGAAACATCCATGTGCTAAAAGCGCTAATTTGTACCGTTTCATGGCCTGCGTTGCCCTCCGGAGCAGAGACCACTGTGTGTTCCATAGGAGCATCCAAGGGGTTTACTTTTCTGGTTGTGCCACGTTAGAGTTCCACGCCAGTCACTACTATGAGATCTCCCAAGGGGGAGCCAGGAAGACTTATCTCCTCGCTATAATCCCTTTTCTAGGTATAGCCTCATTTGGATTAAAAACAGCTGAAGTAAGAAACATGCCAACAGTGCCTTGGCCTTGTGTTATCGTTTTTATGGAACCTTACGCTCGGATTGTCAGCTAAAACCACCGACTACCGAAAGCTACTCGGAAGAGATAACTAGGCCAGAAAATCGAACTTGTGGTATTAGATTATGCTGGCTGCATCATGTGATTTGCATATCAGCGGTCTTTCTGCTTCACCGCTGTTGTCGGCCAAGGGAATTGAATCTCAGTTAAAATGTCCAGATTATCTCCCAAACTTCCGTGCTGGTCACATTTCAACGAGTATAGTTAGACGGCGGTTCCTCATTGACAGTCTAGTTAAACTTGTGGCGCCACCCACCTCAAAAAGTGCCTTAGTTTAAAAAAATGCATTTTAACTGAAATTTGTGCTTCTCCAATTTAAACACGCGAGGATATCATAAGTAATTGGGTGCTGTTCCGAAGAGTTCTAATCAACCATCAGTCATGTTTGGGGAAATGAAGATTTTCTCGTAAGAGAAACTCGTATTTTTTATCAATGAAAAGACACCTGTTTCCTGTATATCCACTCCGACGCAGTTGCTCTGTATGTCCGAATCGACTTCATACGCCCGTGTGCAAAATGCTGTATCCTGTTGGCGGGATGACCCCGAATATAAGGCTGTCTGTCTTTTTTTAAATCGGCAGATCTGGAGTGCACGGAGTGCAGTAAACTGACGTGGAATCTAACAGCTGTATAACGGAGCATTTCATCCACTTGAAGTTGCTCACGAAATGCACGACTGGCATTTCCAGTGATATGGTTACCAATCGGATTTAGGTGACTGTTCCTTATCATTTTTACCTATATACCCTTGAACGAATTCGTATGCTTGCATTTTACGGCAAATTAACACCCTTTCTTTGTGTTCTGTACGATTCATAGATTCCATACAACGCGTTCAGGCAGACTGTATCTACATACCGACATCCGACTTATTTTCGCTCGTGACAAATTTGAATTCGACCCGCGTGTGGCCAACTACGAGTTGCGCTCATTCATCGATGCGCCGACAAACCCGCGCTACTCGCCTAAAAAGTGGACCAAGCGACCACGAACTTCCGTGCCATTCGTACCTCGAATAACCTCGCCGTGACGGCCAGTACTCCACTGGCTCTATTCATCTAGTCGTTAGCTGCGTTGCGTATGCCACAACTTTCCGGTCCTTGTCCGTTCTGCAGCTTCAAAACCAACACTTCCTACTCTCAAAACTCATATTTTCGATTCTCGTTAATATGCCATTTCGGTACAGAGCGCACTCCCCCTCTTCCCCACGATCATCGCCCCGTCATTCACGACGCCAAGCATTAGTCTCAGCCGCCATCAAAATATCATCCACCTTCGCCAAACTTCTATTTTCTTATCATTTTTAAAAGTGCACTCGTTTGTCTTGTTTCCTGTTTTTGTTTCTTGGCTGTTTTTTTTGTTTGGTTTCTGTGATATCTCCTCACTTGAACTGGTCGTTTTCTACTCACTCCCGGCTGGTGGAATTCACTCTACTGAACTTACGCAAACGATCTCCACTCGATTTCGGTCACTCGTTTGGTTTCCTGTTTTTGTTTCTTGGCTGTTTTTTTGTTTGGTTTCTGTGATATCTCCTCACTTGAACTGGTCGTTTTCTACTCACTCCCGGCTGGTGGAATTCACTCTACTGAACTTACGCAAACGATCTCCACTCGATTTCGGTTCGGCCCGGTTACGCAGCTATACAGTAAGTGCACACGCGCATACTGGACAATGTGGACCTCGATTGCTCCCAAACATTTCCATTGTCTTTCCAGTCATACTTGGCACTATTTCCACCCTTTGAGGTCTCGATTCTCCACCAATTCTTCTTTGGCGTGTACACGGTACGCAGGTGCATTGTTCGGCTCTGTGCATGATTGATTGATGTTGATGGTGGTTCCTTTTTTCCAAGTTGGCTGTTGCCTATTTGGTCGTGGCGCTGCACAACCCTATTTTCAAAGTTAGCTGACAGATGAATCTGCCACCCGCCTATTTCCCGGGTACATGCCCCCGCGCCCTTCAGCCTAATAACATTTTGCCCGCTCTGTTCACGAGAGCCTGTCATTTGATCTTTGCTCTTGTTCGTTAGACCTAATCTGTCATTATTGCTCTTTTCTCTCCGAACAAACAACAACGCAATGTTAGTCAAAGACGTGCGTTCTTGTTTTGCCTCGCTCGTTATACTTGTTCGTTTCTTAAGTGTTGTGGCAAGAGTCTGGGTCGTTTAGGCGCAGCCTATACCGTTTGAAGGCGGGAGTGATTAATGTATACGGTTGCCACTGCTTACGATTATTTCCACTTCACCGATTTTCCTGCCTTGGTGGGTCCACAGCATTGTTAGGTTTCTCATGGCCAAAATATCAGCGATGTAGGCACCTCAACAAAGTTCAGTTCTCAATGATACAACGTGAGTTGGGTGTGTATTCCGGAAGCCACATAAGAATGTGCTAGACCTAATCAGTTGTTTTGCTCTTGTCAGTCTGGGATGAGGTTCAAAATATGGTACATCAAACTTGGGACCTTGAATTGTCAGCGACTACAGCTTGCAGCCTGGTTTTCTACATAGACTGATGATGTCTCCTCGTATGGTGACGAAACGTTTGCAAGCCAATTGCCAAGCTCGGCGAACGGATCAGCAACCAATAGGGAATATTTAAGACTGCAAAAGTAAGATGACGGATTGCGAGGAAACAGGTGAAAAGATTCAGTAATCTCAATATTTAAGAGACAAGATTCGAACCGCAGACCTCGAAATTCCAAGAACTTGTGGAATATTTATGGTGACGATCTGTGCGACAGAAGCAGAGTGAGGCTGTGAATTGCGTCAGTCGATTGGGTGGATGTTTCTAGCAGCAGTTGTCAAATAAGCCAGCTTTTTCTTTTCGATGGGATTTAGAAGAGAAGAACTGGTACTGTTTGAACCGCACAGTTATTTGGATTCAAACAGAATAGGAGGATCAATCAAATGGGATTGATCAAATGGCCGTTGATCTGTTTGCAATTAGCTCGTAAGCTGTTCATCACCAGTCGATTGGACATCATCATTGCGCGGCTGGGTGGGTACTTTCCTGTTTGCTCGCACCAAACTGCGCACCGATGATGTTATTTCGACTGCTGAAAAAAGCCTGTAAACTAATTAACAAGGTCGGGAAGCAGATCAAAAGTCTGATAAAGCACCCGAACCACCAATAGCGTGATACATTTATAGCATAAAAAGATGCTTCGTTATTCGTCCTGTGAGATCGCTGTGAAGTCGCAAGGCTTTGTTTTAGGTGCACTAGATGCTGGGTTTTCGGATTCTTTTCTGTGACTCATCAGAACTGCATATCAGTTTGGTGGGAATTCTTGGGCAACCATCCTCCGGTTTCGCCCGTTTTTTGGGGAGAACGGGGTAATAGTACCCGAATTTCAATCAGTCTTATTTCGTACTTGTCTGTGTATACGATTTAAGCTGGTAATAACGGGGAATTCAACTGGATATCAGGAGAATACGAACGAGAGATCCTGTGGGGTCCGTCATCTTTTGTCAGAGGCTGTTTGTCAGTTGATTGTGTTCGTTAGGTGACCATTTCGTGATCATCATTTTAACTCCACAAATTGTTTGTCCTGAATTCCCCAGTTATTGATGTTTCTCGCTTAACTAACACACAAAGAATACGCAGGTTGCGCGTAGGATAGTTTTACACAGTTCTATCAAGTAGTTGAATTTCGGCAATTCATATCCCACATCTTGAGACCCTTATATCGCCCAGATTGTGTGCGGATATTATCGGTGAACCCCTTGTAGTTCTTTACAGAGTTCTAAGAGTATGAAGCCACTTGTGCAGTTGGAGGCTAACCAGGGAATTTCGACTGATCTCTTTGGATCGACAGTGTTAACTAATACCAGACAAGCACCTGTTAGCACACAGTCCACTGACCGATAATCCTACGCTGAATCGAACGCCTTGACGTCCCGAGTGCACCCTTTTTATTCAACCATGTTTGGCTTGTCGAGCTATTGGTTAAACGAATTCGTCTGTTGGCGAAACAGCTGCCTACACACACGAACAGATTGGCAACCAAATACCATGACGTGTGCTTATCATTCACTGGTCGAACGTGGCATACTTTGGAAAGAGCTTCTCATAGATGGATGTGCTGAGCAAAGTCTTCACGAGTCTTGTTCACGACTGCATCAATAATCAAACCCTTTAAGGCCTCCGACTGACCGGTAGTATAGATACGAATTTCGCAAAACACCACCCTCTATTTCTCCTCCGGATTTCTTTCACTGATGAAGCCATGCTGATGGTTATAACTATCGCACTTTGAAGGTCCATATAAGCCTTCAACCCGGGCATACAGGACTGATCAGTCGGTCCCGCAAAAGTACCTTTACCCTTGATTTCTCGGAATTTCGCCTTTGCATCAGATCTGCGGTGGTCAAAATAACTTTGTTCTTTGGCAACATAAACAGAGTTTGTCCAGATGTTTGATCTAGATTGCAATGAAGATGCGTTCTTCCCAGTGCCTATAAGAGAAAGCAGATTGTTTGGAACACGTATTTACGCACAACAGATATCTAGAACGACTAATACTAGTCTACGAAGCTGCGAAATAAACAATGTTCACTCGAGAAAAAGCCTGTCTATATTTGTCCTTCATTCAGAGGGGACACGGTTGACAATCGTAGAACTTTATGATGTATTATAAAAGGAGACCATTTGCAGGAAACAAACTCTTGCGTGGTACCTTCATTCTTATCATAATGTGGAGTACATTGCATCACCCTTTTCAACAGAATTATTTGTTTATCGCCTTCATACAAACTCCGCCGACTTTCACTTTCTTCCCTCATATTTCCAACCTACACGTTTTTGAAATTTTTCTGCCACGTACCACCTCTCCACTACAGTCTCCGTTATCTTTTCACATTCTCTACTCCCTCTGAAAACGGCTTCAAAGCACAAAGTCAGGTCCCCGTAGCACAGCCGCGATGGCCTTCATCTAGGTTACAGTTAACCGGCACTTTATTTGTCATGATTAGTGCTATTTAAACAGTGTCGTATTGGACATCCGACGCATATTTTGGCATTTTTTAGCGAAGGTCAAATCGGAGTCCTGTACTGTCCTAATCCGCTGGAACTACTACAAGATAGTTGGCCTGGAATTTGTCCAACCCCGATTCGTTGGTCGATGTACTTCTGTCATGCTTCTTTGTTCAATTTTGTTTGTTGTAAAACTATTCCTAGCAGCTTAACATATCCATACCAGCATTTTTTAACAGGGGAAGACCTTCTTCTGGGGGAAGGATTTTGACGTGTCAGTGGAGAAATCAGTCGGCCTAAAAATACTATTCCCCATAGCGTGTCAATAAATGTCAGACAAAACTTAACTTTTGGGTTGACAGTAATGAAAAAATACCGAATTGGTTATGAGGATTGGCATGTTGAAGATAGATAAACCAAGACAACCGAGCAAGCGATATATATATATATATATATATATATATATAGGAGCAGACGAACAAGTGGATTTGGCAATGTAGCTTAAGTGTTGCTATCCACCCGACAACGAGTCGCATTTTCGATTGTGTATTCTGACCGACATCTGGCGTTACATTTAACATAGTAAATCCACGGAAAATATGTCCTCTATGCGGGCACCGCCTTGATCAATTGTTTATAATGACCTTTAAATGAAGCACTTTCTTACACACGGTGCGATGAACACCCATGCATTCAGTTGGCACTCTCCGCATCTATAAGTTAGATTGCAGAAGTGTGTGAGTGTACATCTTTCAACAGTATTGACAAACGACTTTACAAGACAAGTAGCGTTCACACAAAGCAACGAATGATATGATGATTGTTTGTGTACCATTCGGTAGCCTTTAAACGGACGAGGTTCGACTGAAAATAGGTGGTCACGCTAGAAAATATATTAACAGTCATACTAATGATGATAATATGGCCTTAACAATCGCCCCACATGTCCAGCGATTTTGAAAATAAAACTGTTTGGTATACCTTGATTTTTTCCCTTTTTATCTGATAAATATGCGAGGTGAGGAATGATAGTTCGTCACAACGTGAGAGGGGAGAAGTCTTGCAAAATAAGCTGGGAACTGCTGACGTTATCTGATATGAGTTTGATCCCGGGTTCCGCCCCTTTGGGTGCAAACGTCCATATTTGACGTCACCACATGCTACAGGTTGAAAAATTCAATACAACTTGCTACCAGATAACCAGGAATACTGACACCAGTCTGATATCCATAACACGTCCCGGTTCCTTTGCATGATTCTCATGGTTTCACAGTCTCCTAAAACATTCCTCTACTCTTTCTGAACTGGATCGACTATGATTCACTCATTTGGATCAACACAAAACTGCTGGATAAGATGAAAAACCTGGTAGGCCTAATCGGCTACCACAACTGCGTTTCTACAATTCATGTGCCTGTGTATGTCGCTGGTTGTCCATTATGTTATCCTTTTTCTGTTTGTGTGGTCCTCTTAATTAGATCTGTGAGTGTTGTACGACTGATTTCATTTGATCGATCACTCCATGTCACTTTGTCGATAAAAGTCAAGTGCAAATTTGATAATGCACCACGCATACATCAGCTCTTTTCTTGGCATAACACACCACTCATAAGTCCGTTGAAAACTCTTCGACAGCTCGCTACTAGTTCCATCAGGTAGACCCCATAAAGAGTTTCCTCCAGTTCGTACAATCCCCTTACTTTTCTCAATGGTTGCTCTGGCTGGATCCACGTTCGCACTATACTTACTTTGATTGTGCTACAAAAAGGCCAAAAATCGTGTCAGCTGAAACACGAGGCGATCCTTGTGTTGGATATTCGGTTGATGAATATCATAAACGAGAGATGCAGTTTAGTCCTGTATGCACACAAGTGTAGTTCGCAGATTTTCCAATTTCGTTTCAAGTAGTACATAATGTTGAAGAAAACTCCGGAGATCGTACGCACCCGATGAACCTTGGGAAGGACGAAACCGGGTTGTCGAAGAGTTTCTAGCAAACTGATGAGTAGCTTCCTTGCATCCGACCTCCAGGTTGCGGAAATTTCGAGTTTTATACAGTAAGCATACCGTTTCGACTGGTGCATGTTTTTCACGTCTCAGATTTGTTGAGCAATTTCCGGCC